TGGCCTTGCCAGGAACAGATGTCAGTATTATGCTTCCTGTACAACCTGTAGAACCATGAACCAAATAAACCTTTTTTCTTCATCAATAACTGATCCTCAGGTATTACTTTATAGCAATGCAAAACAGACTAACACAGATGTTAAATAGAATAAAACAAGATATAAAATTAAAAATGCACTACAAGTACAACTGTAAACCACAAAGGTAGGTATTAGGAGTGTGTTTGCTTTAGATTGTTTGCATTGTCTTTCTCTATCTTGGCCTATGTGTGTGTGTATGTATATATGCCTCTATATATGTATGTATACACACACACACACACACACACACACACACACACACACAGGCCAAGATAGAGGAAGAAAATGAAAGATACAAATATATGGAATTTTTTATTTGAGGAAATAGTTGTTTTGCCTGTAACTGCTGAGTATTTAGTAATTAAGACATCCAAGATAGTATAACTTGAGAATATTTCATTTAAGATACAAGCTATACACATATATCAAAAATATTTAATGAAATATTTAATTTTTCTTTCGATATTTCTGAATGGTTGTGATTTTTATAAAAACGGGCTTCCATATAGAGATAAAACTTTATATTCAAATACTCATAATAATTATTATAACTCACTCTTAGAACTAATTATTCATTGAATTACATATCAGTTTCCCTACTGAACTGTAAGATAATCTTTAGTACTGCAAATGGTGTTTTCTATTTGGTGTGCACATTATAAAGCACAATGCCTGACTCATCATAAGTAAATTTCTAAATGTTTATTAAATGAATGAATACGTATTATCAATTGAAAATATGTACCTTTCATCACACATGCTACCTCCTTCTCCAGAAAAAGTTCAGTGAACCTAAATTTTGATCTGATATTGTCTCTTCTAATGTCTTTGTGATTATAACTTATTTAAAAAAAAGAGAAGCCTTCAGCAGATAATAAGCAGCAATCAAGTGAAGCTTAAGCATGCCATATAGGCAAAATTTCTGCCAAGAATTAATTATCTTTGTAGAATATATATCTCATAAGACAGACTGGGGGCTCCTATCCTGCAGTAGAGGAGTTCTGAGAACCACTTTTACTGGAACATTTCTCTCAAGCCAATCTTCCTAGACTCTCTACTTGAGCTGAATGCGTGGCATGGTTTTACTGAAAGGGAAGGTCTATACATTTTGTGAAATCTTTCTGCCATTGAGCTTGATTATGCTAACATTTAAGTTTTTAAATGTCTCGACTTGAATAAAACTTTACAGTCAGTCCTACTTTTTTTCGCTTCTTACCCTGATAGACATAGTCAATGAGATAACACCAATAATAATTTCCCACAGATAACTAACATAATCATTTTAGTTTAGTTTAAATAAATCTTAACCTTATCTTCCATATATTTTGCAAAACATAAAGAAGACCTCGAACAAAGAAAGCTTACAAAGTGGAGCCAAATTAACATTGTCTTTCTAAATGGTCAAGATTTTGTGATTTGTATAGAAATTTAGAGGTATTAACAGAAATATACCAGATTTTAAACGAATAGAGCTGGTTTCTAGCCCCTACAGTATTGGCAAATGCTTATAAATTCCTTAAATACAAAGTGAAAGTATAAAATAGCTAAGGGGAATAAATTCAATAGAGAGAAACAACAATGCTGATTCAAAGAGAGTTTTAAACTTGAGAGTTCAACTAGAAAGCTTTCTCTAGGGAATAATTCACAGTTTGCCTTCTTTGAGTGACAGGACACCTAATTAGAAGATACCTTACACTTCAGAAATCTTCTGATATTAATTATTTATTAGAAGACTATAAAATGCTAACTGTGTATAAGACACAACAATAGCTCCGGTATTTATTTATTTGGCTATTTTTAGGAATAAAGGTCACATTATCAACCTCACTAGAATTTGGATAAAAGGTTTTAGACTTTTTTTCATCAAGCCATTACCATTTTCTATATAATAATCAATATTAAAAACATGAACTATACATTCATTTAGGTTTAGTGTGAACTGAAGAGAAAATTCAAACAAAACTGTACAGTTGAATTTTGCTAAGACAGTAGATCTTAAGTGTTCTTACCACACACACACAAAAGTAACTATGTGAGGTGGTAGATGTGTTCATTAGTTTGATTGTGATAATCATTTCACAATGTATTTCTATATATCAAATCATGTCATATACACTTTAATTGTATACAATTCTTATTTATCAGTTACACCACAGTGAAATTAGGGGAAACAGTATAAATATAATGGCTAAATTATAATCTATCAAATCTATGGTTCCAAAAAGCAATATTTGAAACTAGTTTAATGTAGGTAGTCATGTCATTGCCCTTCTTTCTTCTTTAATTATAATTGAACTCCTTTTTAATCCAATGCTACTGTTTTATTAAAAATATATTTTTGAATATTTTCTAGGTAAGGTTTAATTTCATAATATGCTACTCAAATAAAATTATGTTGCTTATGTAAAATTAAAGAGTTCTTGTCCAAGTATAATTTGATCAACATAAAGATATGGAATCTGTAAATTCAATTACATATCAAATGTACTGAAGTATGTTTCTAGTTATTTCTAGTGATACACTTTATTTATTTATTTTTGAGATAGAGTTTTGCTCTGGTCGCCCAGGCTGGAGTGTAATGACACGATATTGAATTACTGCAACCTCCACCTCCTGGGTTCATGTGATTCTCCTGCCTCAGCCTCCTGAGTAGCTGTTATTATAAGTGCCCATCACCACACCCAGCTAATTTTTATAATTTTAGTAGCAATAACATTTCACCATATTGGACAGGCTGTCCTCAAATTCCTGACCTCAGGTGATCTGCCCACCTCGGCCTCCCAAAGTGCTAGGATTACAGGTGTAAGCCTAGTGATATATTTTTACAGCCTTTAAAATTTACGAAGTATTTTTACACACTGTCATCAATTAAATCTTAAAAACACCATTTTAAAGGTGTAAAAACTGAGATTGAGAGATAGGCATTAAGATACATGACCAAAATCACTTGTCTGGTAATGACAGAGACAGGAGCAGAACCCAAGGCTTCCGGTCTTCATTCAGGTTCACGTTTTTCACATTGACCAATTTTCTTCCAATGTTAAGAACTGTTGCCATACCTACCTCTAACTGTCAGAATATCTGAATTACATTGTTTCAGTTTGTCTTACTTACTACTTTTAATTGAAGTATGTGTAAGTGAATTCATGAATGGCCAGAGTTCAGGAGATGTACATGCAGTTATCTTTATAAAGTTAATAGGACACTGAGAAACCGAGGACTAACTCGGTCACTTCCCCATCACTGATCAATCTGAAGCATGTTAGTGACCCCAGCTTTAAGTGAAATAAATAATATTTCTACAAAAACATTCATTAGAAAATATTTTAAAGTTTAATAGGAAAAATTAGATTAAACTTCAATGTTTAATAGGGAAATAGGAAAAATACATTAGTCTACAAGACTCTTGACTTTTTCTGACAACTAAGAATACTTAACTGAATTGTATATGAATTTTTAAGATTACCATCAGTTGTTTTATATATTTTGTATATCTATGCATGCACACATATAGTGTTACATAATATGATTATAATTATATACTTCTGTAAACTGTATTACATATAAAAATTATATATATGTAAATTATTTATGAGATGTATACATAAAATGATCAATGAGATCCTTAACTGAATGCACACACAGACAGACACACACACACACACACACACACAAATAAGTAAAGATAAGCTGGCATAAATTATAAATATGAATTTTGTTATATAGCAAAAAAATTCCTTTAGGAGAAGAACCCAACCATAACAAAGGGCATTTTATAACTTTAAAAACTGATGAGGTACCTTAAATGGTCCCCTTTGCCACCTTGGTGGGATTATTATTAATACTAGAAACTAAATTATAAACTGAATATCAATGTGCATTTTAGCCTGTTGAAATAAACCAGGACAATTAATAATAATTATACAGAACATAAGCAGTCTCAGTGACTTCCTGGAGTCTGGTGTTACAGCTGGCCTGTGTAACTTTCTAAGCAAACCTTAGCAGAGACACTGCAGGCATTCGACCTCAGGGCTATAAAGAAGAGAAACTGTGAATATAGCTTTGAAAATAAAATAATTTTATGGATTAAGATGGAATATAATTCTTAATATTTTAGTTCTAGGGCAAAATTTTCATCTTATGGATTCTCAGAGCAAAATAAATTATTTTACTTCTTTTGATTTTCAGGTTACTAGAAAACCAATGGATAAATTCTGGCCCTGAACTATCTGTTTAATGCTAATTGTTGTCAATTTAATCCTTTAGGTATCCTATATGTTATTAAATACTAATTACATTAGGGTAAAGAGGAGAGATTATACAGATTACTGGTATTTTAAAAATAATAATTTTCCAGAAAAAGCTAATATCAACTTACTTTAAATCTTTGTCCAAAAATATTATTTTAATCAAACTATTCTTATAGACAGAGTAGTACTTTTATACAACATGATAATTAATGGGATATTTACCATCTCATGTCATTTTCATGTTAGTAACATCAAAGTTCAATGTAAAGATGAATTAGCACAGGGAAATATTTATAGCTTTATTATTTTTAATACAATTGCTCAAGCAACTATGAAATACAACCACCAGTTGTTCAGGAAGTATTTTCTGGAGGACAAACAACACGTTTACATTTAATTTTTTGTATTAGATTTGTAAATAAGCATTTTTTCTTGCTGGGGTGATCTTCACCACAAAATTAAAGTTTTGTATTTAAAGAGAGGCATACTACTAGGTTAGCATACCATATAATAATTATCTTGAAGAGTTTGCTTCTTTTGTCTCTCAAGTAATTAGTTATGCCCTGTCAGAGTGTTGGGCTTTGTCAGGTCCAGCAAAATATTTGATTTTCTTTCTATTCAAAATCATTTTTTAATCAAGATTAAGGCCAAAGGAAAAAAGTCACTTACTTTGCTTTAGCTTCTGCATCTTCATATGCTTTGTTAGAAACATCATCCAGCCCTCCAATCAAATGCTTGAAAGAACTATCAGAGGAAAAGGACAGTGATTAGAGTAAATCTTCTACAAAGCAGTAAAAATGGCAACTTAGTGACATAATGAAACAATCTAAAGGCATCTATATAAAAATAAATTCAAACACTTAATCTAAATGCATTATTAAGAAGTATGTCAGATAATATTTTTCCTGACTAGAATATAAACTCTATGAGATTAGGAACCTCTTCTACCTTATTTGCCAATACAGTTGCCAACACACAACCAAATCTGGCAGCCATATCTGGCAAAAACAGATATTCAAATAATTGTTTGGAATAAAGTCTGTGACACATTAAATGATATATATCAAAAAATTAATAACTTAATTATAATACTGAAATTACAGCAAGATCTACCAATTATGGAATGTCTCCTATATGCCATGTAGTATTATTTTAATTACCATGAACATATATTAATTCCAATTCTCAAACAAATTCTAAAAACAAGCATCATTATCTCCACTTAACAAAATAGTAAACTAATCTTCAAAGGCAAAATAAATGTGCAGAATACAGGAAAACAACAGGAGAGAATCACAGAAAAATTAACTCCTTTTGGAAGAGTGAAAAGCCAACTTTAGCATAAAACAGGAAGAGTGATTTAACTGCTTACATCAAATCTATTCAATATCCTACTGTGCATCTGGAACTGTATTCAGACTTCTATAGTGAAGTCTTTTCAATTCTGTCACTGAAATATAAAATATTATAGAGCCAACACAAAATGAATACACACATGTATACTAGAATCACCTTTGAAAATTACTGAATACAACCAGATACAGTAAATCTTACTATACACTACACTCTGGCAACTACTTAATTAGAGTGAAGAAAAGAAAAAAGTGAAAGTCTATGCTCAGAAGTCCCAGGACACACATGATAATCAGAGCCTCATTTACATGGTACTCATATGCCAAGTATTGCTATAAGTGCTTTACATGTAATAACAAATAGTAGTTCCAATGAGGTTTTTCCAAATAAAAGTATATGCTTTTATTTTTAAATACTATGAGTTAGTATTACTATCTCCAATTGTAATGGAGATAATTTTAAAGTACTTTAAGAAATTACATTTTAATTTTAAGTTTCTCTCATCTTAACAAATTAAATGGTTTGTGTGTTGTATTAAACAATAAGTTATGCGTGGTCAGGTCCCGAAACATAGTAAAATGCTTGCTGATTTAAAATTTAAATGTTCCTTAATTGCTTTTACATATACTTTTTAACTTTGAAAAACTATAAAGAGAAACATGACACCCTTCTTGGGGCTGGCTGGAGGGGAATGGAGCAGCTGTTACTTCAGACCTTTGGATGACGGGCTCATCTAGGGTGCATGGTAAACAGAATGCTGAACCTAATATATGAACTATTTCTATACATAAAGGAACCCCAAACAAGATTAGGCAGAGATCCAGGGAGTCAAGAATCATATTCAAAAATATAAAACTTTCTGTAATGACTTGTATTAATTCATGCCAAAACAAATGAATGCTAAATAGACAAATAAGAGGCAACAGTCCTTACAAAGTTTTCAAAAATATATTATCAGTGATAATAAATATAGTTCCCATAGTTGAAAAATATGTTCAAATATTATTTTCGTCATTGTTCTTTATATGGCAAAATTTCCTACTTTCCCATAGAATGTCTTGGTCCTTACCTAAACTTAGAGGAGGTATGAGTTTAGAGAATGTCCTTAAGGCTAGATGTGTTCACAATATAAAGGAAAATTTAATACTTCTTTTATTGTAAAAACAGATAATATCTGATTAATTTTCTATTTTTGTGTTTAGATAATACAAAAATTTAAGCACAGAATTTAAGTTCCTTATCCAAGATGACTGCAATTTAGCAGCATGTCCACCGTTAGACGTATATTCCATAATGCTTCTGTCCTTTATAATATTTGGATATTTTCAATACAATGAAATTCAAAACACTATGAAAAGGTATTAAAAGAGAAGAATCAAATAATATTATGTAGGAAAAACCAAACAGCAATAATTACTAAAACTTAGTTTTTGAAATCCATTCAGATATATTACGAGATTGTGTTATTAGGCCTTTAAAACTCATAGAAATTCTGAGAAATCAAGTCTTTTTTTTTTTTTAAATAAAAATCCTGTCTTCCTTCTATTATCTATTTGAGCTAAGGTCACTTTAGATAGGATAGCATATTACCAAAGAATTATGGAGTAAACTGACGATAAATTTGGTAAGAATTAAAACTTTTAAGAAATTCTGTTCAACCCACTAAGATTAAAACTCCAGAAAATAGGCCGGGCACAGTGGCTCACGCCTGTAATTCTAGCACTTTGGGAGGCTGAGGTGGGTGGATCACCTGAGGTCAGGAATTCAGGACCAGCCTGGCCATCATGGTGAAACCCCATCTTTATNAAAAAAAAAAAAAAAAAAAAAAAAAAAAAAAAAAAAAAAAAAAAAAAAAAAAAAAAAAAAAAAAAAAAAAAAAAAAAAAAACCTCCAGAAAATATTATTTTGAAAATATACTTTGAAATTCTTATTAGCAAAATATATAAATGGAAAAGCATAGCTACAGTTATGCTAGATGGAATTTTAATAGTAGAAATCATCTAATCATCCCAATGAGCTTAAAAATAAGTTGATCTTGATTGGAAAAAATACTTTAAACCTCATCAGATCCAGTGACAAGTATCACATTAAAAAACAATGAACAAAAGTAGTATTTGAAATATAACTTTCTTAATGTCTTCTTAAATGTCCTTGATTTAAAATATGAATGTTCTATGTTGTCCTAATGACTCAATATTTATTACTAGACAAAAAATGAGAAAACAATATGTACCTACAAAAGACCTCCATCAATATAAAAATTATTTTTAAAATCAGTTCCCACTTTTATTTAAAATGTAATTAATTTTTGATTATAAAAAAATTAAAACTGAATGAAGAAATTAAGAAATCACCCATATCTCTAACTACAAATGACTAGTGGGGGTATCTTTATATATTTCCTTTTACTTTTTAATTATTTTTCTGCATAGCTTTTTGTTGTTCTTGTTGTTCATACTTGTAATCTTGGTAGCTATGATTTAATACGTTGATTTTTAACTTAATAGTATAGCATAAGCATTTACTTTAATTTTAAAAAACTCCTTAAGCAATATTTTAGTGGCTGAACACATCACAAGTACTCAAATATTCAGACACATACATACACATGTATAGTTGAAAAAGGAGTTGTTGACCTTTCATACCAATATCTGTATTCATACCCTGTATTATAGACTAAACATATGGAATTTATTTTCAGAATAAATATACTTAGAACTATAATTTTGGCCTTTGGAATTGGAACCATGAAAGATTATTTATCCTTCATAAATAATCTTTACTTAGAAGCCAATCCTAGCCAAAAGAATATAATATTTCCTGAAACATTAAACAAATGTGTCTTGCTGATATTCAAAGTCTTTTTAAACAATCAATCAACCATTATACATCACTGGAAGTTTAAGAAAATATAGAATTTCTAGTAATATTATTGAGTTCCAAATGACTGCCACTGTCGGCAGATCCCTGTACTGATCAATGGATAATTTAAGACATCTTGATAAGCACAGTTGATGGGTGTTATAGAATTTATCACTCCTGGAACAAAAATGAACCAATTAGTGTTTCATTTTTCCTTCTCTCAGACACTCTGTATGAACACCTGCCATCTGTGTGAACCCTCATCAAATAGACATTCGGAAAAGTACTACTATAGATATCAGATGCTTTCCTAAATAGTCAGGTGCTATGATATTTCTTGACTAATGCCTTTTTTTTTTTACTGTTATTCTATTCTGAAAAAGATTATGAGATGTTGTGAAAACTCCACCAACTGAATGAGTAGAAACCAGAAAATATTATTTATAGGTTATAACAAATATAGGCAACTAGAGAAAAATCATTAAATTCTCTTTTTAAACAAACTCACAACTCATAGACAAGTTACATTTTAACATTGTAAAATAAAATACCCAATTTCTACATATATGCTAAACCTAATTTCAGAATAAACTGAAGACATGTTATTGAGAGAATGGCTTTAGCTTAGGGCATCTCCATAGCAAACCTCTATGCATGTACATATTTCATGCAAAATTTTCTGTTACTTTTCTTGGGATAGAAAATCTGATTTTACAAGTCTTGACAGAATCCTTTAAGGAGTGTGGGTAAAATATTATCAGTTGAGTACACAGATGTTGAAAGAGAGCAAATGGGAAATCCCTTTTTTTAAGGACAAAAAAGAATTCTATATTTATGACTAAGAATATCGACAGTTCCTTTAACTTATTTTGTTAAGCCTTTTGATTAAACTAAAGATCCAAGTTTATTCTTTTTT